CATTGAACGAGGAGCGCGCGCCGCCGCCAGCGCTGGTCGCAAAAACATTGAACGAGGAGCGCGCGCCGCCGCCAGCGCTGGTCGCAAAAACATTGAACGAGGAGCGCGCGCCGCCGCCGACGCCGGAGGCGGTGTGCATCTTCCGCGAGTGCGGCGACGCGCGCTTCCAAAACCGGAGAAACTGGTACAAGCACATGAGCAAGCACGTGTTTAGCGCGAGCCAGCTCGCGCAAATGTGACGCGCTAGATCGCGGTCTGCGTGGTGTTGATGTACGTGCGGTAGGAGCCGAGGTGCGCGTCGTCGTCGCTCCGGCGCAACGCGCCGACAAAGCGGCAAAGCACCGCGAAGTCCAGCGCGAAGCTGCAGAGGCCTAAGACGTTCGCGATGAGCGAAAGCACGATGAAGCTCGTCTTCATCGGCGTCGGTTGGTGCTGCGTCGCGACGATCACGAACGGGCAGAGCAACAGCACCCAGCACGCGAACGAAACGCTCTGGATGACAACACCAGGCAGCGTGCCGCTCTGTCGACGGTCGAACTCGATGTAGAGCGCGAAACAGAGCAACTTCAGCAGCGCGTAGATTGTGAGTGGCACCGCCGCGAGCGTATACGCGGGGAGGACCGCAATGTACGAGGTCAAGCCTGCGTGCAGCGCGCGCAAACTTACTGGCAACGACAGCGCTTTCGATGCTGTATTGGACCCAGGCGCTGCACCGCGTGTAGAGGCTTAGCATTGCGAGATCCAGCGAGATTTTAATTAATTATTTCGCTGCTCTTCATTTTCCAAAATTTCCGTCGCCATGGACGCCGCCGCCACTGCCGCGCGCAAGTTCGAGGCGCAGAAGTTGATCGCCGTAAGTGTTCGCGGCGCGCACGCAGGAAACCGACGCGTTGCAGAAAAGCCTGGAAGCTTTGCAGCAGGGCAAAGCGCGCTTCGCGCGCAATAAGCAACTGCTGCAGCGCCTGCAAGCCATGCCGGACCCACAGGTAAGTGCCGCGCACGCAAAGCAGGCTGTCGTCCCGGTTACGAACTTGCTGCACCGCGTCGTCGAACGCACCGACCCCGGTCGCGCGGTGCTCGCGCTCGGCGCGGGCTTCTTCGTGGAGCGCCCCGTCGCCGAGCAAATTGCGTACATCGACCGCAAGCTCGCGAAGATCAGCTGCGCCTACGAGAACGTGTTGCAGAAGTGCAACAAAAACTTTGCTGCGATCGGCGAGATCGAGCGTCAGTGCGCGCCACCGCGCGACTAAAACAGCTCGGACTTGACCGCGGCGAAAAACTCATCCTCCTTAACTTCGCCGCGCTCCGCTTCGTCTTCGAGCTTGAATCGTTTCAACAGCGCGTCCAGCCGCTTCTCTTCGCGTTGCGCTTTCAGCTCGAGCCACGCTTCTTCCGACCCGTAAATCTGCTTTTGCAGCTCGAGCAGCTGAAACACGTAGTACAGTTTCACCGCGCGCCGGTTGCGCGAGGTCGCGGTGGCCACCGCGAGCCGCTGCGCGGCCACGCCGCGCTTCAGCGCGTCCAGCGGCACGCCGAACTGCTTCACCGCTTCGCCTTGCGGCACCTGCCGGTAAAAGCCGCGCCGCTGCTTGTAGCAGCCCAAGCAGACGCAGTGCTGCACAGCGAACAGCTCGTGCACCAAAGCGACCGCCAACCCGCAGTGCTGGCAGCGCGCGTCGCCCTCGGGCGCGGCGCTCGGCTGCGCGGCGCTCTCCCAACAGAAGCGCGCGGCGTCCACCGCGGCCGAAAACATTACGCAAAATAGCGATTTTTCATGGATGAAAAACGGAGGATGCAAGGTTTTCTGCCGCGTTCGCGACCCTGACCCGCCGCACGAGCCGAGCTGCGTGCAGATCGACGCCGCGCACGTGGCGCTGCGCTCTTCCGCGCGCGCGTTCGAGTTCGACGGCGTGCTCGCGGCGGACGCGAGCGACGCGGAACTGTACGCGCAGGTCGCGCAGCCGCTCGTCGCGCACTTTCTGGGCGGCAGTAACGTGTGCGTGCTGCTCTACGGACAGACGGGCGCCGGCAAGACCTACGTGCTCGGCACCGACACCGCAGAGCGCGGCCTGCTGCTGCTCGCGCTGCAAGAGGTGTTCGCGCGGCTCGAGCAGCTCGCGGCCGCCTCGCCGCACTGCAGTGCGCGGCTGCAGCTCACCTTCCTGGAGGTGTACAACGAACGCATCAACGACCTGTTGAGCGCACAGCCCGCGCCGCGCGACTTCCGCATCTTCAGCGGCGCAGGCAACTCGGTCGAACTCAGCGGGATTACTTGCGAAGAAGTGCGCGACTGCGCGGACGCGTTGCGCCTCGTGCGCGCAGGGTTGCGCGAGCGCAAGACGAGTCCGCACTTGTCAAACCCGCGCTCCAGCCGCAGCCACGCGATCTGCACGCTGCGGCTGACGCTGCGCGAGCAACAAAGCGTGGTTCACGCGAAGTTCAACTTCGTAGACCTCGCCGGCAGCGAGCGCATCAGCAAAACCTGCACCTC